CCCCTCCAACCCTCTGGGAACCCCCGCGGCCCTTCCTGCCCAGCACAGGTCTCAGGCGGCATCTCAGGCTGGACTGGGCCCCCCGCCTGCCCCCTCACCCCACGGGGACAATGGCCCTAACAGGGATGGTGGTGACAGGCCATGCTAGGACCTGTGCCCAGACCCGGAAGGCACCTCAAACAACCCCATGACTTCTGCTTACGGACGATGCCACGGCCTCCGCGGGCAGGGCTGGGAGGCCCACAGCCAGCCCCGGGAGGACGGCCAGGGGGGCAGGAGGCAGGGAAGGGGCCCCTGGCGGGTGCACTCACCCGTGGACTTGGCCTTGGGGCCGGCCTGCATGGTGCTGTCCTCGTGGTCGATGGGCTGGCTGGACAGGGAGAAGATCCAGATCTCGGCCACCTTGGCGGAGGCCTCCTTGACGCTGCTGCACAGGCTCAGCACCTGGCCGCCCTCGGGCGGACGCTGCATCACCTGGGGCGGCACCGTGGCAGCAGGAAGAGGGGCGTGTGTGGGCAAGAGGATGAGAGAGGACACGGAGCTGGGGAGGGGCCAGGAGGGAGGACACGGGGCTGGGGGAGGGGCCAGGAGGGCCAGGGACTGAAGGCTGTCAGGGAGGAGGGTCCCCAGCCCGGCTGCCCGGAAGCACACGGTGTGGACAGCAGCTCCCACACGAGCACCGCCTCACAGGCTGTGCCTGCAGGTACGTGAGGGCCATGGAGACCAGCCCCTGCGGTGGCCCCCAGGGCCCAGGCCGCAGCTCCCACAGCCCCCACCCCAGGTGGCGGCAGGGAGTGGCTAGGCCATGTGGATGGCGCCCGCGGCCAGCGTCTTGTAGCCCAGGATGGTCCGGTTCTTGTAGCGCTTCCTCCGCTGCAGCATGATCTGCAGCTTGTTGCCTTCCCTCTTCAGGAAGTGGGGGTACTGTGGGGAGGGGCCACGCTGCGGTCCACACCCCACCTGCCAGGGCTCATGCGCCCCCAGGTCATGGGGTCACGCGCAGGTCACGG